TGCCCAGGGATGTGGATACCTCTGGAGATACCTGAGGTCAGTCTGGAGGGGCTCCGAGCTCCTGATAGAGCTGTAGGTGTCCCTGTTCAGTGCAGGGGAGTTGGGATAGATGGTCTTTAGAGGTTCCCTCCGACTCAATTCTATGATTCTATTCTAAGACAAGATAAAATAATACCATAGTGCTCACATGTCCGAGAGGTGTTATATCCCATAATGGTTATCTGCTAAGATACATCTGCATCAAATGACTGTGAATATCCAGACGGACTGCAGGGTGTTTGTTGGAGGGTACAGCCCCAAAGCACTCCTTTTTCCCTGGTACAAATCTTCACACAGCACTTTGCCTCAAGGCCCCAAGCAGCCCGGCTGCTGCCTCCCTGCCAAGCCATCACCCAGTGAGTGCAGTGCTGAGGTTTGATGCTTCTCCAGCACTGAACTGAATGCCAGCACTTGCATCCATCTAAATCTCTAACTGGAGCATCCAAAAGCAAGCCTTATCTCCCTGGACTATTTGTAGCCAAAATGCGGTCAGTTGTTCTAAATTGTTGTGTTTTGTTGTTTTTTCTTTTAATAAAAAAGCAGAGGGGCTCCTGTGATCTTTTCATCTGTTTTCCTTATAACATGGCTTGTAAGATTTTGCTTAATTAATTCCTGCTTGAACTGGGGTATGTCTTTTAGACAACATCTGCTCCTGATTACTGTGCTGTGCGTGTTCTGATCTCTTCCCTTAAGACCAGCTGTTGATCAAATGCAGTGACCTGTATTTAGAAGCTCTTGGTTCAGGGACTGATCAGCAAGCCTCACACCTTGGGCAAAGGCAGAACTGTACTTGCCTGCATGTAACATTGCTGAGTGATGGCGACACTTCCAGCTGGTGTGGTTCATAAGCCCTGGTGACAGGAGCCCAGTGCTGTGGGCCATGAAGTGCTTGCCAGAAGTACATCAAGTGGGGAACAGACTCTTTAGCAGAGTTTGTTTTGATAGGACTAGAGGAAATGGTTTCAAACTAAAAGACAGGAGATGTAGATTAGATATAAGGAAAAAGTTTTCTACAATAAGAGTAGTGAGGCACTGGCACAGGTTGCTCAGAGAGATGGTGGGTGCCCCATCCCTGGCGACACCCAAGGTCAGGCTGGAAGGGCACTGAGCACCTGATGGAGCTGTAGGTGCCCCTGTTCAGTGCAGGGGAGTTTGATCACACGGCCTTTCAGACTTCCCTCCACTCAAACCATTCTATAATTCTATGAAGTAGTCAGGCTGCGCCCACACTCAGGCTGAGGTTTTCCAACTGCATTGGTTTGACAGACAGTAGGGCTTCCTTGAACTCTTTTACAAGGCAACATATGGCAATGCATCACAGAATCACCAGAGCAGAGCCGGTGCTTGGCAGCAGGAAGGGCCGCGCTGGGACCGCATTCAGCTCTGCGGCGCTTCCGCCGCGGTCAGGGTCCGCTCGGCGCCGTTTTGCATTGGCTGCAATTCCCTCACCCTCGGCTAACTGAAAGCATGCCTCAGCCTTTGCGGAAGCCATCCTTCTGTTCATCCCTCTGAGCACGTTCCGCCACCTCGGACGCACGCGCACCGGGCCGCCAGCTCGGGAACCGACGGCCTTCAGGAACCGAAGCGCTCCCGCCGCGCCGCTCCCAGGCCCGGCCCGCGGCCACACTACAGTTCCCGTCCCGCCCGGGGGCGGCGCGCAGGCGCGGGGCGGGGCGGCGCCGAGCGTCGCGGCTGGGAGGCGGCTGTGGGAGCTGAGTGGCCGCCGCCCGCCCGGGTGAGTGGGGAGCGGCCGGGACCGGGACGGAGCGGGGGGTCGGTTGGGCC